GCCCCAGTTATTTTAAGCAAGGGTGTAACTAGCCAGATTTGTATCTTAAATAAACCACCTCTGGAAGCCAGTGTGAAGAGAAAGGCTCAACCTGGGAAACCAGTTGGGGAGGCTGTGTGAAGTGGTGGAGAGAGAGTGGGCTCAAATTCTGGCTTGCCTGTTTCCTCGGACAGGTAACTCACCACCTCCCAACTTCCATTTCCTTGTCTCTAGAAAGGAGATAACAAAACCTACTCTGAAGGGTTTTGAAAGAACAATTGCTAAGTGCTTGGCACAAAGTAGACACTTGAAAAATGGGAGTTACTGCTATAGTTCAGGCAAGAGATGATGATGCCTGAAATAAGTCATATAATGGAGATGCGGAAGAGGGATTCGATTTGAGAGAAATTCTGCAGACTTTTCAGTGGGGAGGCAGCGACATGTGGGGACAGGGAGACATCTCATTAGAATCTATTACTGTTCTTTGTTATTAGCAGCAGAAAAACAGCTGTGGCTAATTTCAGAGAAAATAAAGTTAGTGAATGCAAGCAGCCTAGCTCTCAAAATCAAAGGAAAAGCTCATCAACCAGACCTCAGAAAGGATGGAAATGGGGAGGCTGTGGGATCCAGGTTGTAGGAAGTAACGGGCAGTGTCAGTATGAACGGGCATCATTTGTGTTGTGTCCTCAGATCCCTTCACCCAACAGTCTGCTAACCTTGAATGGATTTGCCCACGCCAACCACAGTGAAGTGAATATTGGAGAGAGATGGGTCCCTGGAAGAAAACCAGGTGCTATTATTAGGAGAAAAAAGTAAGAGATATTGGGTAAAAGCAATTAGTATCTTGGATGTCATGTTTTCCTCACTGTCACAGCGATTGGCACAGCCCTGCACACAGGTCTAGAGCTGGCACCATTAACCAAGAAAGGGAGCTGTATGATGGGTTCTGCAGTGAACTTGTTGAGTTTGATTTTCCATATGGACTTGCGATATAAGTTGTAGAGTTTGTAAGAACTCTAGGAGGGAGGCATAAAAGTGGAAGATTATCAGTTTACAAGGGTTGAGAATAGACGAGCTTGGCCAGGGATAACACCTAAGGAAAGAATATTGAATTGAGAACCCCTGAAGAACTACAAGATAGGAAAAACAAAAAATGAGAGAGAGAGAGAGAGAGAGAGAAAGAGAGAGAGAGAGAGAGAATATATTTTAGAAACTGAGAAGAAAGAGAGAGAATATATATTTTAGAAACTGAGAAAAATATTTTGGTTTGTGAGATAGGAGAAGACCCAGGAGAGAGTGGAGGTAGAATTCCAAGAGTCAGGAATCCCATTAGGCGACCAGTCACACTGGTTTGCCTGGAACTTTCCCTGTTTTAGCACTGAAAGTCCCATGTCCCATGAACTCTGTCAGTCCTGGGTACACTGGGGTGGTTGGTCACCCTAGAGTCAATAGTGTTGGCAGAGCCAGGGCAATAGGGAGTGTAGTATGAGAGACAGCCATTGGAACCGGAAACTGGGAACACTAGCAGCTGTAGCCAGAGCTATTCCAGAGGGTGGTAGAGGCAGAGGCTGGGCTTCAAGAGGGAAAAATGAGGATGGCGGAGGAGGAAGAATGGAGCCAACCCTTTTAAGAGGACTCACCAAGAAGGGAAGGAGACACAGGGGTTGTCAGCAGGTGGGTTATGCAGGATCAAAGGAGGGTGTTTTGTTGTTTGGTTTGCCTTTAGAATAGGAAGAACTTGAGCAAGTTTATAGGTTTTTTTAAGGTAGACGTGAGTGATATGGTTTGGCTGTGTACCCACCCAAATCTCACCTTGAATTGTAATAATCCCCATGTGTCATGGGAGGGACCTGGTTGGAGATAATTGAATCATGGGTGGGGCTTTCCCACGCTACTCTCATGATAGTGAATAAGTTTCACAAGATCTGATGGTTTTATAAAGGGCAGTTCCCCTGCACACGCTGTCTTGCCTGCTGCCATATAGGACGGGCCTTTGCTCCTCCTTCACCTGCCATGATTGTGAGGCCTCCCCAGCCATGTGGAACTGTGAGTCCATTAAACCTCCTTCTTTTATAAATTACCCAGTCTTGGGTATGTCTTTATTAGTGGTGTGAGAACAGACTAATACAGTGAGACAGCAAGATTGGATACTGGAGAGAAAAGGGCACACTCTATGGAACTGGCAGCAGAAGCTCACAGGGTAAAAATCAGAGGAGCAGAAGAAAGACAAAGCTTCTGGGCACTGGTGTAAATTCTCTTGCAGCAGAAGGGAAAGTTCGGGGGTCCATACGTGGTTGCGTCTATTTCCTTAAATAAGTTGTTGAGAGTATGTGTGTTAGGGGGAGGGCAGTGACGGGACAGAGAGGAGAGCCAAACTTGGATGAGCAAAAGGCTGTCAAAGCTGACCGGGGAGGTCATGAACCAGGCTGCCCCGTGCCGTTTTCTCTAGCAGCACTTGTTGAGCTTGGTGCAGGAGCAAACAGGACCAACCGAGGCAGGTGAAGCAGGAGTGCATGGTTGGTGAGGAGGTGGAGGAGAATGTCTCGCAGGCAAGCCAACCACTGGGCTGAGCTTGGGTAGCAGGGAAGGAACAGAAAAATGCTGCTAGATTGGAGAGAATGGGGGAATCAAAGGCAAAGGAAATTATGGGTAGACCCATGTTTTTCCCCTGAACCAGAATGGCCTATAGTGGTGGTACTACTCTGCTTGCTTGCTCTTGAATAAGTAATTTTATATCTCTGGGCCTCAGTTTCCCCATCCGTGAGATTATGTAATCACTATGGTATTCTCCAACTCTAATCATGTATGATTGTGTAAACCAGTATTTCCCAGCCTCTTGCGCCTCTGGGTGAGGCACTTTCTGAATCTAGCCAGACTGAATAATTTTCTGCTCAGAAGGAGCCAGCCCTGGGGGAACACCAAGTGAGATTTCAGTTCATCAGGGCTAGGTGCCAAGTAATAGTTCCAGCTGCCATTAGCCAGAAGTTCACAGGCAGGTTGCTTTGCCTCAAGGGTCTAAGTAAATATTAAACAACACACTGGATGACCCTGGACAAGCTACTGAAACAATTCACTAATAGGTTGACTCAACCGTCAAGAAAGTAAGTGGTTTCTGGCTGGGCGCAGTGGCTCATGCCTGTAATCCTAAGACTTTGGGAGGCTGAGGTGTTTGGATCACTTGAGGTCAGGAGTTTGAGAGCAGCCTGGCCAACGTGGTGAAACCCTGTCTCTAATAAAAATGCAAAATTAGCCAGGTGTGCTGGCGTGTGCCTGTAGTCCCAGCTACTCAAAAGGTTGAGACAGGAGAATTGCTTTAACCCAGGAGGCAGAGGTTGCAGTGAGCTGAGATTGCGCCATTGCACTCCAGCCTGGGTAACAAGAGTGAAACGCCATCTAAAAACAAAACAAAGCAAACAAACAAAAACAGAAAATAAAAGTAAGTGGTTTCACGCTCAGTGTGACCAGGTGTAAGTGTGACACAGAATGATTGTGGGAACAAAGGTACAAACAGAAATGTTTATTCCTGGAAAGGCCACTGCCTTAGGTTGGATTCCCTAGAAGTAGAGCCAGAGACAGAGATTCCTGTTCAAGAGATTTATTGGGAGAATGCTCTCCAGAGAAGAGGAGAGAGGCAAGCAGCACAAGGCAGGGAGGAAAGCTGAGCCAGAGTGTGGTCCAGCTTCAGTCTGCTCCCACTGGTGTTCTGGAGCACACACTGGGCACATTCATTAGTCTCACCTAGGATAAGGGAGTGGGCCTTTTATACCCCCGTGTCAATCAGTCATTGGCTGAGGTCCGTGGGCAGGTGAAGCAGGGTAAGAAGTGGGGTAGCCTCTCTGGTGAGGGTGGTACTTTTTGTTTTTGTTTTTGAGACAGAGTCTCACTTGTTGCCCAGGCTGGAGTGCAGTGGCGTGATCTCGGCTCACTGCAACCTCCGTCTCCCAGGTTCAAGCAATGCTCATGCCTCAGCCTCCCAAGTAGCTATCACTACAGGCATGTGCCACCATACCCAGTTAATTTTAATATTTTTAGTAAAGACAGGGTTTTGCCATGTTGCCATGTCTCAAACTCCTGATCTCAGGTGATCTGCTCGTCTTGGCCTCCTAAAGGGCTGATGAAAGTGGTCTTGTTTGGCCCAGGGCAATTCTGTGCAAAAGAGGGCAGCAGAATTTGATCAGCAATACTCATACCTGTTGGCTGGGAAAAAGGAGCACGAACAGAATCCACTAGAGCTATCCTAGGAGTAACAAATAGGAGTATTATCTTTAGGTTTGTGGTGGATGGGAAATCATATAGAGGTAGATGGAAACAGAACAAAACAAAAAGGAATGGTGGTCCTACCAATCATGGAGATTGAAAAGCAATTTGAAGGGTGTATATAATCAACTCATTAACATCACTCAGTGACAAACACTACAACTGCTCTCACCCTGCCACACATATTTATTAAATTTCACACTGCCAACAAATAATTCATATCCTTAATATGTAAAGAGCTCCTACAAATTGATGAAATTAAGACTCTGATAGTTATGTAAGTGGCAGATTTTAACCAACAATCCATTGAAAAGAAAATACAAATAGCTAACAGACATTTAAGCAATCATTCAACTTTGCTGATAATCAAAGACACACAAAGGAAGGAATATATTATACACTTTCACCTATGAAATTACAAATACTTTAAAATGAAAACACACAAAACTGGCAAGGTTAAGGAGAGATGAGTGCTCGCTACACAGTTGTCAGGAATATGGACTGGTCTTACTATTATTGGAAAATAATTTTATAGTATGTTCATGGGATTTAAAAATGTTTAAACTCTCTGATTTGTACTTTTACTCCCAAGAATCCAGCCTAAGAAAATAATGCAAATGTTTCACTATCATCATATAATGTGATTGAGAAGTTGCTATACACTAGGCATTGTGCTAATTGCATTAATATGTATTATTTGGTTTCATCCATAAGTTGCCTTATGAGGTATTTTCATGAAGTCTTTTTTTTTTTTTTTTTAACAGGAGAGGAACTGAGACTTAAGGAAGTGAAGTAAAAGTTATGTTGTGAAGAATTGAGGAAGCTGGGATGATGTGACTCTTGCGTGTGGACTTTTAATAACTTTACTTACTTTATGTGCTTATTGATATATGGGTTCAAGAAGAGTAAAAAAAGCTAACCTTTAAACAAAATAATTAAATCAGGCAAACCGTTCCTTGCTCCATTGATCAGGGAGACTTGGCAGTGTTTGGATCTCTAATGAAATCAGGCAGATTTAATTAGGGTTCCTAGGGCTTTCTCCTTGTCCTGTGGAAAGTTTTGTGATGAGTTTCATATGAGAATATAAACCAGTCCTGGGCTCCTGTAGGCAAACTCGTGACGTCAGCTACTGAATTTGACACCTTTTTGGATTGGAGTAGCGGTGAACTGACGGGTTTATAACAACCCATGACTGAAGCAATCAATTGCAGGTACCTGTTTACTTGTCTATCTTTTCCCCCAAATTTACAGCTGTGTAATAGCAGGGATAGTGTCTGTCTAATTCATTAACCTTAAAAGGTGAGAATGGGTTATGGGAGGCATTCAGCAGTGTCTTCCAAACTCTCACATGTGAAAAAGAAGACATTTCACAAGAACGGCTCTTACAGTGGCATTGTTGGTATTTGCAAACAATTTGGAAGGATATCTCAGTTATTTCTATTTTTTGATTATTACAAATATAGCTGCTATAAACATTTGCGTGTAATTGTTACATAAATGTAAATTTTCATTTCTCGGGAATAAACGCTCAGGAATGCTATTGTTGGTTTGTGCGGTAAGTGCGTATTTAACTTTTAAAGAAACGATTAAACTGCTTTTCAGAGTGTATGTACTCTCTGACAATCTGATTAGCAATACATGAGTGATTAGATTTTTCTTAATCTTCAATGGTATTTGGTGTTGTCACTGTTTTTTAATTTAGCCATTCTGATAGATGTCTAGTGATATCTCATTCTGGTTTTAATTGGTGTCTCCTCAATGGTAAACAATATCAAACATCTTTTCATGTGCTTATTTACCATCTGTGTATCCTCGTTCCTGAAATGTGTCTACATGTCTTTTTTCCATTTTCTAATTGGATTTTTTAAAGTTAAATTTTGGGTGTTGTTTATATATTCTACCTCTTTGTTTGATATGTGGTTTGCAAATACGTTTCCCAGTCTCTAGTTTGTCTTTTCTCCTCTTAACAGGTTTTTTCATGGAGCAAAATTTTTTATATTGATGAAGTCCATTTTATTCCTTTTTATTTTATAGACTTTATATTTTACATGTTTTTTCCTAAAAGTGCCGTAATCTTACATTAAAGTCCATAATCCATTTTGAGTTAATTTTTGTATCAGGTGTCAGACTTAGGTTGAGGTTGACTTTCCCTCCTTCTGGGTATTCAGTTATTCTGGCACCATTTGTTGAAAAGGCTATTTCTCCACTGGATGGCTTTTGCATTTGGGCATATGTATATTGGTCTATTTATTAGTTCTCTACTCTATGCCCTTGATCTATGTACATCACCACCAATTCCACCAATATCAGTCCTGATTATTATAGCTATAGACTAAGTGTTGAAAGCAGGTGGTCTGACTCTTCTAATTTTTCTTCTTTTTCAAAATTGTTTTAGCTATGGTAGTTCCTTTGTTTTTTCATCTAAATTTTAGAATAAGTTTCTTTGTATTTAAAAATTTAGATAAGGATCACCTTAAACTTATAGATCAATTTGGGGAGAATTGACATCTTCGCTCTTTAGACTCTTTCAGTGCATGAACACCATACATCCCTCATTTATGTAGAGGTTTGATTTCTTTCATTTTGTAGTTTTTAGCATACTGGTCTTATACATATTTTGTTAGATTTACACTTAAACATTTCATTGTTTTGAGTGGTTATAAATGGTATTTTATTTTTAATTTGTTAGTTTATACAAATACAGGGATCATTTTATGTTTCTCTTATATAAACTTTCTGTGCTCACTTATTAGTTCCAAGAGTTTTTAATTTTTTGGGTTTTTTTTTTTTGGTAGATTCCTTAGGATTTTCTACATGGACAGTTGTGTCATCTGCAAATACATATAATTTTACTTATTCTTTTTCTATCTGATTGCCTATTAATTGTTTTTCTTGACTTACTGAATTTCCTAAAATTTCTAGCATTATGTTGAACAAAAGCAGTAAGAGTAGTATCTTTGCCTTGATTCTGATCTTAGGGGAAAGGCATTCAGTCTTTCACCATTAAGTATAATGTCAGCTATAGGCTTTTGTAGATTCTCTTTATCAAGTTGATAACTTTCTCTCTCTATTTTTCTGAGAGTTTTAAAAAATCATAAACGAGTATCGAATTTTATCAAAGGATTTTTTTCATAGCTTGATATAATCATGTGATTTTTCTTCTTTAGCCTGCTAATGTGGTGAGCTGTGGAATATCAAACCAGTCTTTCATCCCTGCAGTAAATTTGACTTGGTCGTAGTATACAGTTCTGTTTTAAATATTGCTGAATTCTATTTGCTAATATTTTATTAACAACTTTTGCATTTATACTCATGAAGAATCTTGGTCTGTGAATTTCTTTTCTTTTTTGTATTGTCTTTGTCTGGTTTTACTATCAAGGTATTATTAGCTTCATAAAATGAACTGGGAAATTTTGTATTTTCTGGAATAGATTATAGAACTAGTGTTAATTCTTCTTTAACCTTGGCTAGAATTATCTAATAAAAAGATCTGGGTCTGGAGATTTCTTTTTGGAGAGTTTTTAAATGATAAATTACATTTCACTAATAGTTATAAGACTAAGCAAATAATTACTATATATTGGTTAAGGTGAGGTAATCTGTACTTTTCAAAGAATTGGTGCATTTAATCTAAGTCATCAAATTTATGTGTGTAGTTCACAGTATTCCTCATTATGGGTTTGGTATCTACGAGATCTGTAGAGATACTCCCTGCTTCATTCCCAACATTCGGAATTTATGTCTTCCCAGTTTTTCTTTGCCAGTTTTGCTAGATGTTTGTCATTTTATTGCTCTTTTCAAAGAACCTGTCCTTTGTTTAACTGACTTTCTCTACTTTTTTTTTGTTTTCAATTTCATTTATTTCTTTTTTTATCTTTATTGTTTCCTCTCTTCATTTGCTTTCTGGCTTCTTGAGGTGGGAGCTTAGATTGTTGATTTGAAACTTCTTTTTTCAAAATATGAATTTAGTGCTATAAATTTTCCCCTCAGTATTGCTATTAATATGTTCCATAACTTTATGTGTTATATTTTTATTTTTTCCAGTTTAATATAGTTTTAAAATTTCCTTTTGAGACTTCTGTTTTGACCCATATTTATTTATTTATTTAATTTTTTTTGAGACAGAGTGTTTTCTGGAATAGATTATAGAACTAGTGTTAATTCTTCTTTAACATTGGCTAGAATTATCTAATAAAAAGATCTGGGTCTGGTGATTTTTAAATCACCCGGGCTGGAGGGCAATGTGCGATCTTGGCTCACTGCAAACTCTGCCTCCTGAGTTCAAGCAGTTCTCTTGTCTCAGCCTCCCAAGTAGCTGGGACTACGTGCATGTGCCACCACGTACAGGTAATTTTGTATTTTTAGTAGAGATGGGGTTTTACCATGTTGGCCAAGTTGGTCTTGAACTCCTGACTTCAGGTGATCCACCAGCTTTGACCTCCCAAAGTGCTGGGATTACAAGAGTGAGCTACCAAGCCCAACCAGATTATTTAGACTTTTTTAGTTTCTAAATGTTAAGAATTTTTCTCCTAATCTTTTGGTTATTTTTTTCTAGTTTGATTTCACTGTGGTTGGATAACACACTCTCTATGATTTTCAATTCTTTTTTTTTTTTTTTTTTTTTAGACAGAGTTTTGTTCTTGTTTCTCAGGCTGTAGTGCAATGACACTATCTCTGCTCACTGCAACCTTTGCCTCCCAGGTTCAAGCGATTCTCCTGTCTCAGCCTCCCAAGTACCTGGGATTACAGGCATGTGCCACCATGCCCGGCTAACTTTTGTATTTTTAGTAGAGACGGAATTTTTGTATTTTTAGTAGAGACAGGGTTTCACCTTTTGACCAGGATGGTCTCGATCTCTTGACCTCGTGATCCACCTGCCTTGGCCTCCCAAAGTGCTGGGATTATAGGTGTGAGCCACCGCACCTGGCCCAGGATTGTTGAGTTCTATATCCTTGCTGACTTTCTATTTAGTTATTCTATCAATTGTTGAGAGAATGGTGTTAAAGCCTCCAACCAAAACTGTGAATTTGTGTATTTCTTTTTTCAGTTCTATCGGTTTTTACTTCACATAATTTGCAACTTTGTTGTTTGGTACATATACATTTAGGATTGCAATGTTTTCTTGGTGGATTGGCTGTTTAATTATTATATAATCCCCCTCTCTGACTCCAGTAATTATTTTATTTTTCTGAAGTTCATGCTATCTGATGTGAATATAGCCACATCTACTTTCTTTTGATTAATGTTTGCATGGCATTCCTTCCCCGTCCTTTTATTATTTATTTATTTTTCAAAAAATTTTTTGAGACAGGGTCATGCCCTGTTGCCCAGGCTGGAGTGCAGTGGTGTGATAATGGCTCAGCACAGTCTGAACTCTCCAGGTTCAAGTGATCCTCCCACCTCAGCCTCCCGAGTAGCTGGGCCAACAGGCATGTACCACCATGCACAGCTAATTTATTGTTTTTTAAAATGTTTAGTATTGATGAGGTCTTGCTATGCTGCCCAGGCTGGTCTTGAACTCCTGGTGTCAAGCAATCCTCCCTCCTCAGCCTCCCAAAATGTTAGGATTACAGGTATGAACCACTATGCCTGGTTTATCCTTTTACTTTATTCTATCTTTTAGTCTATCATTTACTTGTGTTGTATTTGAAGTGAGTTTCTTATAGATAGCATGGACTTGGCTCATGTTTAAAAATCCCCTATACCAATATCTTTTTGGTTTTGGAAGAAAAAAACCTTGCTCTGTCACCCAGGCTGGAGTGCAGGCAGAATCTCAGCTCATGGCAACCTCTGCCACCTGGGTTCAAGCGATTCTTGTGCCTCAGCCTCCCAAGTAGCTGGGACTACAGATGTGCACCGTCATGTTTGGCTAATTTTTAAATTTTTAGTAGAGACCGGATTTCACCATGTTAGTCAGGCTGGTGTCAATTTTTTTTTTTTTTTACTTATTTTACTTTTTAGTACTCAGATCTTACACAGGAGTGGTTTTTAGTTAAAAGTTTTCTGTCTTTTTAGGCTGCTGCTCTCCTGGTCCTTTGGCTGGACACAGCGGGCTTTTGTCGGGGCTCTTCTGGTCTGCATCCACTGATGTTTCCAGGTCAAAGCCTTCTTTAGCTCCAAGTCTGGAATATGTGAGGCAATAGAAAAACCCAGAGAACTCACAGTCGAATTGTTTATTAGGTCCTAAGGCCCCCAGGTGGTCTGCCTTCTT